GTTATGACGATTGGACGTACAAAATTTTTCGATAGCTCAAATTATATACCTATGCGATTATCGGAGTTACCCAAGGCTTTCGAGCTGCAGGATACTCTGGGTAAAGGTTTTTTTCCTTATTTATTTAATTCGCTGCAAAATCAGAATTATATTGGTCCAATACCTAATATTACTCGCCCGAACAAATGTAACCCGAGGAACACGAGCTTTATGGTTTGGCATGAGGAAATGTCACGTTCGAATTTTGTTTTTAATTTGAAACAGGAAATAGTAAAATATTGACGGAATGACGTAGATATCCTTCGACGTGCGTGCATGACATTTAGAAAAATCTTTTTAGAACGCGGAGACATATGTCCATTCGTAGAATGCACGATTATCGCTTCCACATGTATGAAAGTTTTTCGTAAAAACTTTTTACACGAGGAAGAAATAGGAATCATTCCACCGGGCGGATATAGATATAAAGATAATCATTCGCACAAAGCCTTACAGTGGTTAGTGTGGATGGAGCGTGAGCTCGGACATCCTATAATCCATGCAAGGCGAGGCCGTGAGTATCGAATTGCCGATACACCCATCGACGGATATTATGAAGTCGAATCAACGAACGAGACGTCACATTACGTGTTACAGTTTCACTGTTGTTTTTGGCACGGTTGTCACCAAAGCAGCTGTTACCAAATCAATCATGAAAGAAAACTTATGTCCGGGGCGTCACGCGAAGATACAATCGATGCTCGATACGAATGAACTCTCGCAATGACATGGCATCTTTGACAACAAGGATATAGGGTAATAGAGAAATGGGAGTGTGAATTTTTACGAGAAAAGCGCGAGAATCGCGAGATGCGCGCTTGTCTCGAAAGCCATCCGATGCTGATCAACCCTTCTCTCGCGAGGCATTCTTTGGTGGCCGTACGGAAAATATCGTAACTCGATACGAAGTTACGGGTACGGAGAAAATACGCTACGTGAACGTGTATTCTCTGTATCCGTATGTATTAAAAACGAGTACTTTTCCGTTAGGCCTACTATTTATATCGGAGAACAGTATTCGGAGTTTATTGGCGCAGCTCCGAATTTTAATTTCGATTGTGTCGAGGGTATCATTCAATGCACAATACTTCCTCCACGCGATCTTTTTCACCCTGTACTCTCATACCTCGTACAAGATAAATTGTTGTTCGGGCTGTGTCGTAGTTGCTGCGAAACATTCTCGCAGGCCAAGTGCACTCACGATCTCTCCGCCGATTGTGAATTCGTAGGTACGTGGGTATCCTGCGAATTGCGTACGGTCTTCGAGAAAGGTTATCTCGTGACGAGAGTGAGCGAAATATGGCAATTTAGAGTCACGCAGTTCGATTCTCGTACGAGGCGGGGTGATTTGTTTGCCAAATATATCAATAGTTTTTTTTAAATTAAAACAGGAAGCTAACGGATGGCCGAGCGAATGCCTGGATGACAAAAGTAAGGAACAGTACCTTCGGGAATACGAAAAAACCGAAGATATTGTTCTCGATAGAAATAATATCGTCCGAAATCCAGGTTTACGTTCGGCCAAATTCTGCTTGAATTCTTTCTGAGGTAAATTCGGTCAACGAATCGATTTGCCTAATACAGAGATCATAAAAAAATACAACCGTTTGGTAGCGTTGCTCACGAGTTCAGAGCATGAAATAACCAATATATTACCTGTCAACGACGAGATAATATATGTTTCGTGGCGAAGAGACGGTCGCTCCTTCTCCGCAAATCAACCCCGTGATCACGGCATGGACGACGGCACAAGCGCGACTAATATTATATGAATATTTAGAGAAATTAGATAGTCGCGTTTTATATTGTGATACAGATTCGTATATTTACGTAAACAGAGGCGAACCGAGCGAGTACAAACCGCGTACGTGGAATTTTCTGGACGATATGACGGACGAACTCAAGAGCTACGGACGGGGCAGTTTTATCGAGTCGTTCGTGTCCGGAGGCTCGAAATTTTACGTGTACGTCGTTTGTATATTGGAAGGTCACCAACACGAGATCTGTAAAGTTAAAAGAATAACGTTAAGTTATAAGAACTCTTGTATTATAAATTTTAATAGTACGTAGGCTGCTGGAAAGGTTTCTGCTAGTACTTCCAGTGGCGCCAACGTTCTGCTATTATCATATCCGTAAAATTAGACATTTTTAACCTATAATTCAATTGACAGTTTGTACCCAAGCCAACTAGTTTTGTTTCCATAGTATTTTAAAAGAAGTTATTTTGTAAGAAAATGGAAATTTCGCGTGAAAATTTTCGGGCAATGATTTTTTACGATTACAAATGTAATCTAACTCCGAAACAATGCATCGATCGACTTCATTTGGCTTTTGGGGATGAAACACCATTCAATAGGACTGTTTATAATTGGTTTGCCGAATTCCAGCGTGGACGTACCTTTCTTAGTGATGAATTCCGTGAAGGTCGTCCATCCACATCTCTGTAGCCACTAATGTTGATGCTGTGCGTGAAATGATTGAGCGAGACAGGCATATAACATACCGCGAGATTCAGACATCCTTAGGCATTGACATGAAAGCAATACATACGATTTAAATGATCACTTGAGCGTACGAAAAAGCAATCGTTGGATCCCATACAATTTGACCGAAGCTCAAAAACAGGCTCGTGTTAAATGGAGCAAAGAAATGCTCAAGAAATTCAACCGAGGTCGATCAAATTTGGTGTAAAACATCGTAACTGGGGACGAAACATGGATCTATTCCTATAAGCCCGAAAGTAAACGACAATCCACTGTTTAGGTATTTCAAAATGAACCGAAACCAATAAAAGTTATTCGTTCACACAGTGCTGCCAAGCAAATGATTGCTTGTTTCTTCGGTCAGGACCACGTGGGCAGGGTTTTGTGAGAAGGTCCTTGTGGGCAAGGCCACGTGGGCAATTCCACGTGTACAGGGCCACGTGGACAGGGCCACGTGGGCAGGGCCTTATGGGCAGAACCACCAGGGTAAGGTCCTTTTAATCTCTACAACAGTCCGGTGCATGCGACCGTGGCTGCTAGGTCGGGTGACAAGGGCAAGGACGTAGGGCGTAACGAACATGGGGAGCCTAGTATTCCTGCGGCGAAAAGTGTTCTCCCTGTGGAGGAGGGGATATTGATGGACACATCCAATGGCTAGCATTGGACAAATAAACGTGAACAAATCGAGACCTGCGCAGGATTTAATCGCACGGGTGTGCGAGGAGGAGAGACTCGGTCTCGTGGCGGTTTCAGAGCCGCATTCGGTCCGTGGCGGATGCTGGCTCTTCTCTTCGGATGTTCCGCCGACGGATGCACTGGCTTGGCAGTATTCGGATGTGCCATGTTCTCCTCTTTTCAAGGGAGAAGGTTTTGTTGCGGTGGAATGGGGAAAATTAGTGGTTTTTAGTTGCTACTTCTCCCCCAATCTGCCGGATGCCGAGTTCGAGAGAGGTCTGTGTGATCTTGATGCGCGTGTACAGTCGTGTGATTGCAGACCTCTACTCGTGCTCGGTGACTTTAATGCTCGGTCTCCTGCTTGGGATCGGAGGGAACCCAATTGCAGAGGGAGAACTCTGACCCGCTGAGCGGCTGGGCTGGATTTAATCCTTCTCAAGGAAGGGTTCGTACTACGTGCGTACATCCGCGGGGCGTATCGTGTGTGGACCTTTTGTGGGCCTCGGCTTCGGCCGTCAGGCACATTTGTGACTGGCGTGTCGCGGTGGACACCGAGTCCCTCTCGGACCACCGATATGTGCTCATGGAGGTGCAAGAACGGATAGTGGGCCCCCTTAGAAGGGTAGCGGCAGAGAAACATTTTCCTCGGTGGTGTGCCCGTAAGATCAATATGGATCTGTTGTGCGCGGCGGCTAATGTGAAGGCATGGTCTCCCCTTCCTCAGGGGAACATGTCGGCGGACCAATTAGCCGATAGGATAGACATTGCGCTGAAAGAGATTTCGGATGTCGCTATGCCGCGTCTTAAAACTACCGGTAGACCATCGGTCTACTGGTGGAATGAGGAGATCGCGGATCTCCGCACTCGATGCGTGCGTATCCGAAGGTATATTATAAGACGGCGTCGTAAATACCAGGACTCTGAAATGGTTCGGAGTTTCTGGGGCGATGTACGCGAGACGAGGAAATTACTCAGAGGCGCCATCAGAGAGTCTAAACTGACTTTGTGGCAGGGTCTGCTCGAAATGCTGGATGCGGACCCCTGGGGTATGCCGTATCGCGTCGTCCTCGACAAGCTGCGTGGGGCATTCAGTTTAGTGGCGTCTCTTCCTCCTGCAGTGGTGAGGGGCGTGGTTGGGGCCTTGTTTCCGTCCGGGGCGGGGGATTTTGATACAGATTCCTCTCTCGTTGGGTGGGACGAGGCACTAGCTGTGACTGGGGAGGAGGTATCCATGGCTGTTGCCAGGATGAATGTCGGTAAGGCTCCGGGCCCTGACGGGATATCGGGCCGAGTCGTAAAGGACACCTCGATTGTTCTTACGCGAATGTGGACGTCTTGCTTTACGGCATGCTTCAGGGAAGGTGTATTTCCGGCGCCGTGGAGAATGGTGCGCTTGATGCTGTTGAAGAAGCCCGGCAAGCCTGACCTCGCTTCCTCGTCGTACTGACCGATCTGCCTATTGAGCGAGGCAGGCAAGTTCTTCGAGAGAATCATATGTAATCTTGTGCGTTATTTGGACGCGTCCGGTATCGCGGAGCCTCAATACGGTTTCCGATCAAACATATCGACGATAGACGCGATCTGGAGGCTCCGTTCGATTGTGGATGACACGATGCGGGACGGATGGCATTGGCTGTGTCATTTGACATAGCCAATGCTTTCAACTCCCTCCCGTAGCCGGTCATCAGGAGGGCTGTTGTGGAGAAGGAGGTTCCGGGGTACCTCCGGTGCGTCCTCGACGGGTACCTGTCAGACAGGTGGCTATCCTACATCGACAGGGACGACCGGTACGTGAAATCCTCTATGAAGTGCGGCGTTCCGCAGGGTTTGGTCTTAGGACCACTAGGACTGCAGCTGGCGCTACGAGTTATTCGAGGCTATAGGATCGTTTCGTACGAAGCATCTCTGTTGCTGGCGAGGCTAGTCCCATTTGACTTACTGGCCGACCGGCTCAGGCGGTCGTATCTGAGGCGGCGGGCTCTCATCGAGTGGGATGGTTTCGTCGCTCCCAGAGCGATGAGCCATATCCGGGACGATGAATGGCGTAGGTCCATCGCTAGATGGAGAAAACGGCTCGAAGAGCTTCCACGGGACGCGCCTGGGGCTGCGGTCCGAGGGGCTCTCGTGAAAAGGATAAGCGCTTGGATGACGAGGGCTCATGGTGGCTTGACGTACAGAATGACCCAGATCATTGTGGGTCACGGTTGTTTCGAAGCTTACTTACACGGAATCAGGAAGAGTGAGTCTCCGATTTGCCGACACTGCCGGGCGGCGATGGATAACGGCGTTCACACCCTCCTCCACTGTCCCTCTTGGGATGCGGAGAGGGGGAACTTGTTCGTGGCTCTCGGTCTGGATCTAGATCTAGACCGAGACTACGCTCGGATGATCGAGGCCATCATGGACTCCTCTGTAACGTGGACGGTTTTCGCGCGGTTTTGTGAAGTCGTCATGAGAGCGAAGGAGGAGGCAAAGAGGGACCGTGAGAGGGATCGGAGGGCCCGGGTGGTACATCCGCCTATACCTCCATCTCTCTCGTGGGACTCTGACTTCTCGTAGCGGTTAGTATAAGTACTTTTGTAAATATTGTATATATAGTTAGCGTTTTAGTTTTGTAAATAGGCGTTCCCGTATGTGCGGTGGGAGCCATCCCATACGCATCTGGAAGCACCCTGAGGTAATGCCTGTAGGCGGTTCCGGGGTGCTCCCACATATGCTGTGAGGTATTGCTAAGACAAGGGGGAGTTTTTTAGTCGGTAGGCGGCCGCTCCGGTATATCCTTGAGATCACGGGGCGGTCGAATCCGGCACACCCAGTGGTCCGGGCCG